ATTCGAGAGTAAAGCTCGACTTCACGATCCCTGTTAAAGCACAAATAGCNCGTCGATTAATCCTTCTCGCCCCCTTGCCGCGTATCACCAGAAATAAATTAACCTCTGCCACGCTGAGGGGGGATGATCGAGGGTATTCTTGGAAAGAGGATTCGAAGCCGCGTAAAAATCACAGCGACTCGGGTGGTGGCGGTGAATAATGGTCGCGGAGGGGGTCGATAAAGGAAGAAAGATTAAAATTAAAGGAAGGTAGAGAGGGGATCGCGAAAAGTTTGCTCGCGTCTCGAGACAGATATTCCATTAGGAACGGGGAGTTGGAGCCAAGTTGGACACCGCAAAACCGCGTTTTTACCCAACGATCGGCCATCCTCCATCCGTCATATTTCCTTTCCCTTCCCCTCGTATCCCCCGAAGAGAAAAATCGAATTTCTCGATCCGGCGGAAAAAATGGCGCGCGCGATCTTCCACGCATTTGGCGTAAATCCAGTCACCAGCGACGCGAAGCGTTTCTTGCGAAACTCGATTCGAGTTCGATCCCAAGAGAAGGAGGGAATTTTATTTTAATTACGGAGACTATTTCGATCGAAGGAAGGAAAAAAGGGAAGGGAGATTTAACGCGGAGTGATGGAGAAGGAGGAAAGTGACGAATCTGCGACGGATCGGGAAAGTTTAACGCGGTCGAAGGATCGATCTTCGATCCTGTTCGAAACTTTCTCGATCCCTCGTCGAGAGAGAGAGAGAGAGAGAGAGAGGAAGGAACGAGTTTAAGTTTCTCGAGGGAAAAGAGAAATCGATAAGGAGATCTAAGGGGAAATTCTTGATGCGTACGATTCCTTGTTCGAGGGAGGACGAAGCAAACACTCCGAATCCTTATCCAACTTATGGAGAGAATCTCACTCACGAATATGTGTCGGCCACGTACGTTTCCATTCCATTCGTCTTCTCGCGATTTGGAGGAGAGAGAGGACGGATCCTGGAATATTATATTCGTAGAATCCCGTGGAAAGTGAACACGAAAACTGTTGTAAACGGTGTCACACTCGATGCGCGATGAGAGAACACGCGAGCCGAGAGGAGCGGAAACAGGCGAACGCGAATAGGTGACGGCGACGGTGGCGGAAACGAAGGAGAGAGGAGGCAGCTGTCGGCCAGTCGCGAGACGCGAACCAAACCCAACTGAAGTGCGACGTTTCTGTATCCGCGACCGCACCCCCGCCATCGCCCCTCCACCCCCAACAAAACCACCCGCGCACGCGTTTCGCTCCGGAAGCCGGATACGGGGCTGCTCTTCTTTTTCTTCTTTTTCTTCTTCTTCTTCTTCTTCTTCTTCTTCGAAGGCCAGAAGCCGCCGATTTTCCGCAAGGAAAAAGTTTTCAGGATCGGAGAAAAGGTAACATTGATTCCGGTAAATTTTCCATCGTTTGTGGCCAATTTTTCATTCGTAATGATTCTTCTTCTCCTTCTTCTTCTTCTTCTTCTTCTTCTTGTTTTTCGAAGACCAGAAGCCGCCGATTTTTCGCAGGGGAAGAACGGAAATATTCAGTTTGGTAAATTTTTCGTAATTTATAGGCAATTTTTCATTCGTAATGATTCTTCTTCTTCTTCGTATTCTTTGAAGGTCAAAAGCCGATTTTTCGCAGGGGAAAAACGGAAATATTCAGTTTGGTAAATTTTTCATAATTTATAGGCATTTTTCATTCGTAGTAATGATACTCCTTCTCCTTCTTCTTCTTATTCTTTGAAAGTCAAAAGTTGATTTTCAGGCAGGCAAAAAAGGTAATATTGATTTTGGTAAATTTTTCATTCATCGTAATGATTCTCCTTCTCCTTCTTCTTTTTCTTCTTTGAAAGTCAAAAGCTGATTTTCAGGCAGGCAAAAAAGATAATATTGATTTTAGTAAATTTTCCATCAATTTTTCATTCATCGTAATGATTCTCCTTCTCCTTCTTCTTTTTCTTCTTTGAAATTCAAAAACTGATTTTCAGGCAGGCAAAAAAGGTAATATTGATTTTGGTAAATTTTCCATCAATTTTTCATTCATCGTAATGATTCTCCTTCTCCTTCTTCTTTTTCTTCTTTAAAATTCAAAAACTGATTTTCAGGCAGGCAAAAAAGGTAATCTTGATTTTGGTAAATTTTTCATTCATCGTAATGATTCTCCTTCTCCTTCTTCTTTTTCTTCTTTGAAACTCAAAAGCTAATTTTCAGGCAGGCAAAAAAGATAATATTGATTTTAGTAAATTTTCCATCAATTTTTCATTCG